ACTCAGTGAACCGATAATTTTCTACATGAATCAATGTACCACATAACAAAATCATGTGTTGGTAAAGGATCCATTTAAAATATAAGACAGATAGATATTAATGAAACAGTATAAAAATTTACTGATAAAGTTTCAGATTCTACAATGCAACTAACCTCTATGGAAACTAACTCTTGTTGAGCTTGGTAAAGTACCAAATAAGAATATCCACAATTACCTGAAAAGGCTATTAAAATGCTCCTTTTTTTCCAAATACAATACAGGGGCTGGGGTGTCAACCCTACCCACCCAGTCGAAAATCCACCTAGAACTTTTTTGGCAGAAGACTCATGAGTGACCTGCCCCATCTACAACCCTGGACTCCCCCAAAAACAGCCTACTGTTGACCAGAAGCCTTACCAGTAACACAGTCAGTCAATCAACACATATTTTGTACAACATGGATTATATACTGCACACTTACAATAAAATAAGCTTGAAAAAGAAAACATTATGAAAAAAATAATAAGGAAGGAAAAATACATTTACAGCACTGTAGAGTTATATAGTGAAAAAAATCCTTGCATAAAAGTAGGCTGGTGTAATTCAAACTCATGTTGTTCAAGGGTCAACTGTACTTACTTGTGTAAGCCTGGGTTTTCTTCAACATGTCAATCAAAACAACTTATCTCAAGTGAATATAGAAGCAGGTATGAGAAACCAGCTGCCTTCTATTAACACAAACATTCAAAGACTCCAAAAATGTATATGATTCATTACAGAAGGATCGTACGCAGAACAAAGGTGATCAGTCTTCATGTACTCCATACTGGAGGTGCCCTGTTTTCAAAGGAGTATCAACACCCACAGGACCCATTAAGAGTATTTTAGAAATCATGACATGGGGAAAATGTCAAAAGAACCAAGGACATTCAATTTAAAGAGGATTTAGACGTTATAGCTATTAAGTTCTATCAAAATCAAGCAACATCACTTACTTTATGGCCTGACTGTGCAGGTCTAACCAGTTGTACAAATGGTGAAAAGGCAGAGGCATGACAAGCTTTCCTGACAACTGTCCATTTCTAGGGGAAGCTGGAAACTGAAAGATGGGAGTCTGATCTAGGACTTACACCTCCCACCCCAACCCCAAGCATTCTGCTTTGTACATCCCAAGTTTCTGGAAAGAATTCTTGAATTTGTATGAAGTCTTCCCAGAACGCCAAGGTTAATTTCAAACAGAAACATAAAATTTAAAAACATACTAAAAAAGTCTTTAGAAATTACAAGTATTTATACTAAATATTCCAAGCATAAATACTGTAACGAACCAATAATTTACAATAATGAACTACTTAGTATTTCATTTGTGACACTGTTATACCCTAGTCATGCTTTATGCCTACAAAAATGAACAGATTTCTCTTTCTTGGCTTTAGAAATCTAGCCAGGAGGAAACACTAACTCCAGTTAACACAACTTTGCCCACTTTTCCCAAGGGAAATATTTTAAGAATTAAAAAAAACTATGTATCAGGAGCTACCAATTACTAACTTTGTTATGCACCAGACACTGTACTGCACGCTTTAGACACATCTCCGTTAATACAACCAATAGCTCTACAGAGGAGTTTCTACCTCATGTGTGTGGAAAATGGCTCAGAGTGGTAAAGGACTTGTTCCAGGTCACATAGCTAATAGATGGCTGAGCTTACACTAAAGCCCTGGTCTTCCTAACTCCAAAGCTAGGGCTTTTGCCTGAGGTGTCTCTCAGACACCTCTAGGTAAAGTCAAGTACTGTATTTGCAGTAACAATCTTAATAGAGGAGAATAATTTGGAATCAATTCACTGGGGAGTGAAGAGAATAATAATAAACCCAAACAACTTGATTTTAGAAAAAGCTTCCGATATTTTAAAAAATCCTCGTTATCAGAGGAAATAGCTACAGGTTTTATATACAGTTTTCCTTCCCCTTTTAAGTCTTAAAATATGCCTAGAAATTTATAGATAGAGATGGCAAACTTAAGTCCTACAAGATCCGAAGGTTAGAACGCCAAACCCCTAACTGACCTGATGAAGAACACTGAGGTTTGTAGTCTTCCCAGTTTTTGGCAGGTTATCAGTTTAGCAATCTCAATTCTTGCTATGTCCAAGTTCCAATCTATGGTTTTAGGTTAAGACTCAGGATTTGTTGCAGTTAGATATGTAAAACCAGGATTACTCTCCACTTTACTGCCAATTGAATGAAAAACTGGAACCTAGGAAATGTAATTTAGCAAACTACAAAACAAAATACACATATGATATGGTACAATCAACTCGATAATTTGGACTTGCTTTTGAGCAACAATGTAGCCCCTGGCTCTCTCCCTGACTACTGGGAACCTGCCTCTATAGACTAGGAAAATAAAGCTTAATACTGCTTTCTGACAACTGCACTGGGTTATCACATACACCTACGAAATAAACTTATGGGGAATACATAATTATGAAAAACAAGTTTTTAGATTATGTCTGTACATTTCAGACCTGCTATTCCTTTCACCTGTGTGACCCAAGTGGTTCTGAGTTGAGATATCTTTATCTAGCTAAGGTGTTTTGGACTGGAGGGGAGGTGCCTTACAAAAATTACAAAGCAATATAACACCGGCTTTCCACAGGTGGTGATCTTCTAAAATGCCTAAGCATTGGATCTGAACAGAGCAAACAGTAGTGAGACATCTGATGTGAACATAACTCAAATTACAATGGAAATTATCACTGAAGAACATCTGGTCAGCTATTCCATCATCCAGCTACATTTCAGAGATCCCAATAAATGGTAACTCCTGATCTGATGAAATTAAAACACTGACTCTGGAATAGGAAAGCTTTGGCATAGACCACATCACTACATGACTGGTCCTTTGTGAAGTTTCTGGAACCACTGCAGACACTTTAAATAAAAACACAAATTCACCAACAGGGTTTTAAAACTACTTTAGATATCTGAGTAATATTTCCTATGTACTTTTACATGAATATGAAGTCAACAGAAAATTCTAAGATCAGATGGAGAAGTTGCTCAATAGAGGGATTTTTTTTATTAGGAAGCACAGGAGATGTAGAGTCCTAGCTACTTATCTCTAATGCTAGTTTCTGGAGTACATCTGGGCACATGGCTAACGTTTTCATTTGCCTTTGAATAGCATGTCAAGAAAATTTTACTTTTAATCACCTTTTTTACTGTTCAAGGCAATCCAACTGTCAAAATTTAATATTCACTGAAGGCTAACTTGAACACCTCAATTCACCAGAACAATTGGCAAAATTGTCAAAAAGTGGAATTAAAAAAAAATCCCAAAGCTCAGTGCAATAGGGCTTATTGTAAAGTCAAAGCAACTAAAGCTCCTTGGATCTGCCTTAAATTGAACCACTCGGTTTAAGAGGCGTTTTGCTGGGTACTTCTGAGTATTTTCTTAAACTAGAAAAAGAAAATCCTAGTTATTAAATTTCAAAATGATTGACGTACAACTTTGATGTCTAGAAACCTACCCCCAAAGGCAATAATTCTACATGTCATCCAACATCTCCTTCTTTTTTATTAGCAAATAAAACATTCTTTGAAATAACAGGTGACTCCACCTCCCCCAGCCTCCAAGTTCTAGTGTCAGGAATGATACTGGGTACACTCCTGCACCAAAACAAGCCTTTGTCTGAGCCATTCCCAAACTAAGTATTCAAAGATACTTTTGGGACTGAAACCCGGGAGACTGACTGGACACCTCAGTAGGTATTATTGTGGTATTACCCTGGGAAAGTAATCCTTTCTGTAAAAGTACACAAAGACCAAGTGTGTCCTTGACAAATAGCAAGACGGCCTATCTTCTAAATTTGGTATGAGGTAACTTGTATTTAAAGAAATGTCAGTGCGAGGTCTTGGAGTAAGCACCATAAGCTTTCTATTCACTCAGCCAAGGATTTTTCCTTTTAAGCAAAAGTGCCTCAATTATATACAGTCTGCATGTAAGCAAAAGCAGAATGAGGCTAAATGCGAATCCTTCTCTAGGTCAGAAGGGGAAACTAGGAAGAAACATAATTTTCGGCTAGCAAGCACCTAGCACCTGTCAACAAGACACTCTGACCCAAAAAAGTAAAATAAAAATGCTGTTATGTATTTGTTTTGTTTGGTCTCCACCTCCCCATTCCCGGGCTCCCGCCGCCAAATCACTGCCTCCAACGTAAGGGGAAGGGACTCACCCCTCTCTCGGCCGCCTGACCTTACCCATTCTGCTAGATTCCTGGCACAGGGGATCAGGGAACCTACAGCGCAGGCAGACAACAGGATGCCCGGATCCGAGCCGGGCAAGCCGTGACCCCCACCCCCGCGCTGCAGCACAGCCCCGCGCACTGGGGGATGGGGTTGCAAGCGGGAGCTCGTTCTCTCCGGCATCCAGGACCGCCGCGGCCGAGCCTTGAGGCCGAGGCAGAGGAAACACGACTCGGCGGCGGCGGCAGGCAGAGGCAGGAATCGGCTCCGTGAGCAAGACCCTAGGGAGCCTAACGGCCGCACCCCCTCCCCGAGCGCGCCATTTCCAGGCCCCGGCCCTCCAAGCGCCTCTCCCAGGCTTCCGCAGGCCCAACAGGGCCCCTGCCTCACGCTGCCGCAGGTGAGCGGGGGAAGGCGGCCGTCCCGACGCCCCCGACTCCGCCAGCCCCCCACGCCCGGCCAGGACCCGCGCAAGCCCGCCTCACCCTCTACCGCCGCCAAAGCTGCTGTAGGCCCGATCGTCGTAGGTATCGAAGTCCGCCATTTGCCGTCTCTGCTCCGAGAGGAACCAGAGTGAGCAAGGAAGGACCCCGCAATATTACTCCCCCCGCCCCGCCGCCGGGGCTGTCCGCTGCGCCGCCTGATCGCAAATCGCATGCACGCGCGCGCGCGCGCACGTACGCCGCGCTGCGCCCAGCCTGGGGCAACAGGCCGCTGCTGGCCCGGCGCGCTCTGCGGCCCGCGTGGTGTGGCGGCGTGTTGGCCCAGCGCCAGGCCTCACGGGGCCCGGCCCATTGTGCGCTGGCGGGCTGGCTTCAGCCGCAGCCTTCTCCAGCCCCCGCCCCGCCCCGCCCCACCCCGCGGTGGACGCGGGCCATTTGGTGGCTCCCTGGGCGCGTTATGACGGCTCCTCTCCGGACTGGCCTGGGACTCTCTGCCGTGCCCTCTGCGCTTTCTGCTGTCGCTTAGCTTTTCGTATTTCAGACCCTGCAGGGACTCCAGAGGCCTGCTCTGCTTGGCTGCTCTGCGACACCCTCTTCTCGAACAAGGGATCTCCTGCTAACACCAAAGTAAGAGCCACCTCCTCCAAAGCGGAGACCCACAGAGCTGGCACTCGCTGGGAATGCACAGGGGCAAACGGCCTGGAAGGGGTGAGATTGGGCCAGGATCCGAACCTGCGAGGCGATGGGGATGCAGATACGAATCCTGCCTCCAAGAGTGTGCTTGTGGTCAGGGTATTGGTAGGGCGGGGGGTGGGGGCGGTTGAAATGAGAATCTAGATGGTCTTTGAACTAGTGACAGTCGGCGCATCTCGCTTTTGCTGAAGTCTTAGCGCTGGAAAAGAATCCAGTCCTGACTTTAATGACATCTGGCAATAGCGGAAAGTGTAAATGCAATGAGAATGGATTACACTGGTTATTTCTCAGGTTTTGTGATTGCGATTGTGGTAGTAATGAATACACCAAACCCTGGTGTGTGTAGGCACAATTTCAAAGAACCTTATAGAATTTTTGCAATATATGTCTAGCACTTTATTTATTATTAAGGTATCGATATACAATCTTAAGTTTCACATGAGCAACATTGTGGTTACTACATTCACACATATTATCAAGTCTCCCCCCATTGCAGTCACTGTCTATCAGCATAGTAAGATGTCTAGCACTTTTATATTTAAGCATTTTTCTGCTACTTTATCCCACTTCTGGGGTTGACAGAGCAGCAATAACTCATTTTTTGCTTTTCTGTCTTGGTTTTCCCAAGTAATAAAGCCAGTTTACTGTCATGTAGACCCTGGGCTCAGCCTCTTACTAGCTGTGTGACTTCAAGCAAGTTAGTTAACCTCCTTAACATCTCGACTGTACCATCTGTATAAGAGGAGGATGTCACCTACCTCATAATTGTAAAAATTAAATGAGGAAATGGTAAAATTCCTGGTCCACAGTAATCTATATTGAACATCTATCCACTATGTGTTCTGGCAGCATTATGGGCATTTTACATGTATAATTTCCAAATCTCTTATATTATAGCTAGAAATACCTAGAGAGGAAGGAACTTGCCCACTGTAACATAGCTTTGGTCTCATAGCACATTGCTATGAAAACTATTTCTTCTTACTTACTTTCCAGTTTTATTGAGACCTTAATATTTATTCTTGAATGCCCATACATTTTTTTAATTCCAAATTCTCCCAGTCCAAAGTCACCTCCAGGTGAGATCCCGGAGTACATGGATCCATGTTGAGAGTTCTCTCTGTCATCTGCCACAGGGCCCTACATGAGGGAGAAGTGGTTAATTTATCCTTAGTGCAGCAAAAGGAGGGAAGACTCCTAGAAGGCCTGTGGCTTGGGCTCTCCTGGCCCCAGGACCTTCCTTGGGTCATCTCATCCCTCCAAGTTTAATCCCCCCTTTCTCTACCCAGACAGCACCCAAGGCCAGTCCTGGGCCACACTCCAACTGTCTGTCTGTAGGCCTTTCTCCTCTTTGTCTCTGGCACACAGTCTGCCTCCTACCTAAGATCCAGGGGATTGAGGCCAACCCTTTCAAGTTCTGTAAACACTGCAAATGCCTCCTTGTCAGAGTTACATGTGCCTCTCCTGAGTTGTCTTAATGAACTTTGATCCTAATTCGTTCCTTAAATTCTTCTCCAGAGTGGATACCACAGCCTTTACAAGTTCCCTGAGGGTGGGGAGGATGCAGCCCCTTGAAGGCCCGCTTAGATGCCACTTTGCCTGAAAGCCCTTAGCGTGGTGATAAGACTGCAGGTTGCGTTTCAAACTGCCTGTATTTAAATCCTGTGCCATTTATGCTAGCTGTATGACCTCAGGCAAATTGTTTTATTTCAAGCTCATTGTCTATAAAATAGGAATAATAGTCATTTTGATATCAGTTTTCAATATTCAGCAATTTTTAAGTTCTGAAATGTTGGTATAATGTTTGGTATAATACTGTTAACTTCTCTAAAATAATCTGAAATAAATCATTTTTATGTTGAGATTAAGATCAATGACTTAGTCAATTTATGTGAAAAGACATACTGATATTCTACAAATGTGTACAGATCAGCTCCTGCATGAATCTCAATATGCATCTGTATTGAGCTACTGTAAAGCTTCTGTTATAAGCATGAGTATTACTCTAGGGCAAAGAATGCAAAAAAGTGCCTATGGATATGAGAAAAAATTGAAATTGACACATGGGATCTCCATCTATACATGATGAAAATGAAGAAAAAAAGTACTACATATGCTTCCTTTGCAACCAAAACTGTAGCTCATGAGCATTAAAAATGTGCAGACTTTGCAAAATAACAATTGTTAAAGAAAGATCTTAACTGTATCTAGTAAGAGGTGGAAATATCTGGAGAAGGATGTTTCAGCCTTGCCCCCTTGATTTGTTTCCCACACAGCAGCCATAGTGTTTCACCTAAAACCCAAATCCTGCTACTTAGGGCATGTCACTTCCTTTGCTTAAGCTTTCCCGTCTTCCTGATTAGGAGCCAATGCCCTTACTATGTATGGCCCAAAAGGCCCCACTGGGTCTGCTCACCCTCCCAGTCCCCTCCCAATCCCTCTTAAGCACTTTTCGCCCAGCCATGCTGGCTTCTTTGCTCTGTTGCTTCAAGCTCCACCTGCCTTTCCACTTGAAGCCTCTGCTTTTACTGTCCCCCTGATACCCAAATGGTGCCCACCTTCACTTCCTTTAGCCTCTGCTTAAAGAAGCCTTCCCTAACTGCCCTATTTGAAATAATAACAACCCAGTTGTCTCTTTCCTGCCCTGCTCGTTCTTTTCCCAAGCCCTTGTCTCACCTGATTTATCTATTTATTGTTTACTTATTTAAGGTCTGTCTTCCTTGAGAGCTGGGAGTTTGTTTTGCCTGCTGATAAGCCCCAGCCCGAGAGGGGGACTGCCTCATAGAGGATGCTCTGTAAATACTGGATGCTTCGGTGAATACTGGAATCAGATGAAAATATTTGGAGCTAGAGTAAAACCCCTTCTTCATCCCATTTCGTTCCATCCCTCAAGTTGGATAGCATTGCAAAGAGCTTCTGTAGACTCCAGAACTTCATGATCAGAAAGACCCTGTGATTCAATAACACTGCACCATTCATGTGCTGTCTTAGTCCCAAACTGGAGGGGGAGAGGGAGCCAAGATGGTGACGTGAGTAGGACAGTGGGAATCTCCTCCCAAAAACATATATATTTTTGAAAATACAACAAATACAACTATCCCTAAAAGAGAGACCAGAAGATACAGGACAACAGCCAGACTACATCCACACCTGCGAGAACCCAGCGCCTCATGAAGGGGGTAAGATACAAGCCCCAGCCCCTGGAAGGAGGAGAGGAGTTGGAGCGGGGAGGGAGAGGGAGCCCAGGATGGCTAAATACCCAGCCCGCACCCAGAGCGCAGACACACAGTGCGAGGAGTGCAGGAAACTAGCAAAACAGGACAGTAAAACCTGCGAGCAGGTCCCTGCAGCCGGCACACCTGGGACAAAAAAAAGTGAGTGCTTTTTGAAAGTCTTAAAGGGACAAGGACCCCACAGCTGGATGGAAGCATCCCGGGACATTTAGCCTAGCAGATGGGAATCCCGGGGAAATCAGGGTGCCCTAACCCCTGGGCAGCAGCGCAGCTCTGAGACCCCTCACGGTGATCAACAGCCCCCTGCCCATTCCCCCTCCGGTGCAGCCCTGCCATAGCAGAGCAGCAGCCTGAGGCTGGCAATGCCCACAGCAAGGGAGCTTCCTCCATAGCGGCCAGGCAAGAAACAGAGACCCAGTCTACGTGCAACTGCCCAACACAAGCTGCTAGGGGTCGCCGTTGTCCCAGTAAAGAAAGGTCAGGAGCAGGTGGAAAGGGTCTTGGTTCTCCCAACTGACAGACGAGCCAACAGCATACCATGCATCTTTCAACATGAAAAGGCAGAAAAATTTTATCCAGACCAGACTAACCCAGACATCCTCCACATCCTCCCCTAAGAAGGAATCTGAGGAGATAGATTTAACCAATCTTCCTGAAAAAGAATTCAAAATAAAAGTCATAACCATGCTGATGGACTTGCAGAGAAATATGCAAGAGCTAAGGAAGGAGAATACAGAAATAAAACAATCTTTGGATGGACTTCAAAGCAGAATGGACAAGATGCAAGAGACCATTAATGGACTAGAAATCAGAGAACAGGAACGCAGAGAAGCTGATGCAGAGAGAGATAAAAGGATCTCCAAGAATGAAAGAATATTAAGAGAACTGTGTGACCAATCGAAACAGAACAATATTCGCATCATAGGAATACCAGAAAAAGAGAGAAAAAGGGATAGAAAGTGTCTTTGAAGAAATAATTGCTGAAAACTTCCCCAAACTGGGGGAGGAAATGGCCTCTCAGACCACAGAAGCACACAGAACACCCATGACAAGGGACCCAAGGAGGGCAACACCAAGACACATAATAATTAAAATGGCACAGACTAAAGACAAGAACAGAGTATTAAAGGCAGCCAGAGAGAAAAAAAAGGTCACCTACAGAGGAAAACCTGAAGAGCCCCCACCAGTAAGATGGCGAACTTCTGGCTTCTCTTCCGGGTCCTCAGTTCCCGACGGCGCCACCTGAAGACCAATCACCTCTCGCCCCCCTCCCAATCCCAGCACCTAGCCAATAGCCACAAGCCCCGTAGAAGTAACACCACAATCACCCCATGCCCCTTCCTATATAACCCAGTACCTTTCCCTAATAAAGCAGAATTCTCCAGTGAATTGCCGCTGTGAGTCACTCCTTTCCTTTCAAAACCCATCAGGCCATCGTCACACTTGTCAACAGAAACCTTATAGGCCAGAAGAGAATGGCATGATATATTTAATGCAATGAAACAGAAAGGACTTGAACCAAGAATACTGTATCCAGCACAATTATCATTTAAATATGAAGGAGGGATTAAACAATCCCCAGACAAGCAAAAGTTGAGAGAATTTGCCTCCCACAAACCACCTCTACAGTGTATCTTAGAGGGACAGCTCTAGATGGGAGCACTCCTAAAAAGAGCACAGAACACAACGCCCAATATATGA